TCGCAGCTGGAGGGCGCGGGCCGGTTCGTGCCGCCCGGCGCGGCGGCCACGCACGCGCCGCGCGTGCTCGTGCTGCACGGCACGCTGCGCGCGCGCGGCTTCTCCAAGCTGCTGGCGTATGAGGTCGCGCGTCTGCTCGAGGGGCTCGGCGCAGAGGTGCGCGTTTTCGACCCGCGCGGCCTGCCCGTGCGAGACCCGGAGATTCAGGACCACCCCAAGGTCGTCGAGCTGCGCGCGCTCGTCGAGTGGAGCGAGGCGCACGTGTGGAGCGCCGCGGAACTGCACGGCAACTTGTGCTCGGTTTTTAAAAATCAGATCGATTGGATTCCGCTCAATTCTGGGTCCGTGCGCCCGACGCAGGGGAAGGCCGTCGCTGTCATGCAGGTTAATGGCGGGTCGCAGTCGTTCAATGTCGTTAATACGTTGAGACTGTTGGCGAGGTGGATGCGCATGCCGTGCGTGACAAACCAGAGCTCGGTGGCCATGGCGTGGAAGGAGTTTGATGATGATGGCCGTATGAAGGAGAGCTCGATGAGAGATCGCGTCGTCGATGTCGTGGAGGAGTTTATCAAGTTTGCCCGTATCAACCGCGAGTACGCAGACTTTCTGACCGACAGATATTCGGAGAGAAAAGAACGCGCCGAGAAAGGAAGACTGCTTACGCAAGCAGAGAAGGAGGCCGCGAAAGACGCCGCCAAGGCTAAGGCAAAAGCAAACGAATAATCTTTTCCTCACAAACCTCCTTGTCTTAAACGTATTTATGGGCGCGACCGTGACTTCCACCTCGCTCGCTATGCCGAGACCTAGACGAGCAGTAAATGCGTTTGTCGATTAGTATGAGTTTTTTTTGTTTTCCTTCGTGTCACCTCTACAAGCGGTGATTTCAGCGGTTTCTAAATGTATTCCTTCCTTCTCCTGCAGACGCATTCGCGCGAGATGATCTTGGTTTGCGCACCGGCGATTTGCATCTCATCGCCACGAGTTGATTCCACATGGATTCTTAATGGCGCGGGCAAGTCGTTGTTAAGCTAGTTGCTGTTGAGCTAGTTGCTGTTGAGCTAGTTGCTGTTTAATCTAGTTTCGGCCCTCACGCGGCCCACTGTAATTTGGCATTAAGCAAAAATCAAGCCAAGGGCCCTTCCCACGTTTCAGAGTCTGACATGCAGAGCTTTCCTTTACCGCCTCCTTCGTTTTCCTGCCGGACTACCTTCGGCGGAAAACTGCAACTCTCGTCCTTGCATTCCAGCATGTGACGGGCTCTTCCGTTTCGCACGGCCATCGCTAAGTCGACCAAACGGAGAGGTTGCGTTTCGCCACCTCCTCACGTTCGCAGCCATCTGCATAGTCTCACGGAGGCTTTCCGCCGTCATCTTGTTCGTGTTTTGTGGTCGCCGCGCATGCAGAATTCGGAGCTTCGCACGCCTCTGCATTCCATCTCGCGGCAAGGCCTTTATCGTCGTCGGCTTGGATCCCATGTCAAACATTCGTATGGGAGAGTACGCTCCTGAACGTGCAAAATAGTTTCGCTTCATCCTGTCCCCAATTACGTCGCGAAAAGGCGCATGTCTGATGCGACAGCTTTCCTCGATTCGCAGCAGCTTCTCCATTATTGTCCCACCCTTTTTCTCCGTCTTCGTCTTCCACCCAAACTCAAGTTCGCGCCCCACGCGTTGTCTTGTCCTCTCTTCATCAGTACCACCTGCATCCGGGTCGGAAGCCAAATTTCTTAGCGTTAAAGCTACAGATGGTATTTCACGTGAACCAACGACAAACGGTGACGTCTTTTGTCGCTTCAGTCCTGAACCAACGGAATCATTAGCCTCCCAGTCCGCCATGCTTCTCTTTCGTCTGGTCCCAGTTGTGCCACTAAACTCATTATCTCTAGACCCACTTGCATTCCACAGAGGGGCTCTGCCCGCTTCCGACTCAGTGCGGATAGGCCTAATGTCGTCGGTCTGCACCTGAGAGCTTATTTCATATTTTTTTGATCGCAGTTGGGATGTTTTTGATATGCGTCCAACGTTTACCTTCAGCTTGTCGTGCACTGTAGACATGGGCAGCCAATCATACTTACCACCACGAGAAGTTTGGAAAGCGTTAAAATGCCCTTTCCCGAAAGCCTTGCCATCCGCCGATGACTTGCGAAGGCGGCTGAAGCTCCTAAACGGAGCTGCAGCATTTTTCCGGACAGCGTCTACACCGCCTCCATGATGTACCAAGACAACCTTTGGCTCATTCGGCATCCGTACTCTTGATGAATCCAAGACCGTACCGCTTTCATTTTGTGCCATGGGCAAGACCTCTTCCGGCCCATGTGTTTGCACAGCTCCAGGACCACTGCCACGTGCGGACGTCAACGTATTTCGACCTGTTTTGAAAAGACCGAGAAGAGATTGCTGGCCTCGGCGACTCTCGTTGTAAGGGGATTCATTTGTACCCCCCGCAACGTATGCAGAATGTCTTGCATTTGTTCCCGCTTCCTCCGGTGCGCCGATTTGTTCAGCAATTAAGCCAGTGTCCATCTTCTCAGGGCTTGAAGCTCGATCATTGGAGTGTGCAGGCATAATCTCCTGATCGCCATCTCCGCTGGCATCAGCATGTGCTGCACCGCGAGAGTCGAGCGCTGTTTCAAACCTGTCCGTCCCTCCGATGTGCTCGGTCATTAGACCTCCAGTTGCAGGTGTGTTGCCAATCTCCCCAAGCGGGGACAATGACGACCGTCTTCCTTCGTTTGACGAGCTGCCGCGTGCGTTTTCTTCAATCTCCTCCGTGGCCTGTGGAGGGCTGGATGCACCTGATCTTGGGCTGGGACCGCTCTGCGGAGCAGAGCTAGAATTGTACGACCCACAGGGAGAGAGCTGGTCACTGCCAGCTGCCTCGGGCTCAGATCCTGGGGAGGATCTGGAATCACCTGAATGGACGTCCTGATGACCATCAGAACTCGAGGGACTGATCTCAACAACTTCATCTACAGGATCCCCAGCCCCGTCGCTTACGTGGTCATTCGTAGCGCCACCAACTTCATTGTCCTCCGACGGTAGCTCTCCCGCGGAGGACCCGCTAGACATCTGTACATCCTCTATGCGTGGCTCCTCTTCCTCACTGTTAAACTCTCCGTCTCTGACAGTGTTCCCGAACAATTCGTGCTCTTCGCCGGTGTTCATACTGTGGTGGGCCTGTGGCATTTGCGCTGACGCGTCAGCAAAGTCGTGGGGCTCAAAGGGAGCAAGCTCTTGGGCACGTTCCGGCTCTACATCATCGACGTCCGAAGCAACACGATCTGGGGATTGATTCGTCGCAGTAGGTTCCTCGGACGCATCATTTCCATCCATTCTCGAACTGGGCGGAAGCAGGTCGGGTGCTGCATGGGATTCCAGTGGACTGTCATGAGCAGTTTCTCTCTCCCCGTCCACATGGGCTCTGACGGAAGCTGCGATCGCTTCTGGCCCATGCGAGACTGGTGCTGCCGTAGATGAACCATCGTCTCCTTTCACACTTGGCGAACGCGGTGTCGGCAGCGGAGACTCGGAAAACGGACTGTTCTCCCGACGTGCTGCAGGTTGCACATCTGCCGGCGATGCCCGTGCAGGCTCGGGTTTGGTTGCAGGGGAAGCATTGGATGCGCCCATAGGAAGACCAAAAGTCTGCCCCATCTTCGGCAACTTGTTTTGCGGTGTTTCAACACTGGCGGTGTCGTCACGGCTGTTCTCCACAACACGTGAGGAGTGGAGTTCTTTAAATGTTGGTTCAGGTTGCGACTGCTTTGCAATTGTCTCAAATTTTAGACCGAAAGGCTGACTAGCTGGTAGAGAGGCGGGCCCCCCAGAGGATTTATGCGAAAAATCATGTCTCCTCGGATTGTCAGTCGGTGCACTCTTCACACCCGCTCCTGCGTTTTCCCCGTCACTTGTCGCCCCCTTCTGTGCGTGAGACATATATTTCTTTTCAATGAGCTCAGCCCCTTCCTCCACATCTTGCTCTTGGCGGGTGTCGGAAGCGGACTCAGCTGCAGGTTCCGTCGCGATATGAGTTAGTGCTTGTCCATTGTTGCGCCTTAAATGTTGGACAAGTTCACTGGCGGGTGCGAGGGCACCAGGCTCATCAGGTTGGTCGCGCAAGCGAACGGTTACTCCATCTTGAAGATGATATTCTGTTCTCTCTTGCGTCCTGTGTTCATCGTTGCGCGTCTCGTGTGCATCATCTGTCTGCGCGTCCCTTTCGCTCCGGTCAATCTGTTGATTAGTGTCATCCTTTCTGCCACGTTTTCCAGTCTGGAGGGCGTCTGGTTCTACGTCCTCTTGCCCAGATGGACTGGGGTTTGGCGAGTCAGTTTTTGCAGCGGGAGGAGGAACGAATGTTACTCCACTGTGATGGGGTTCAGGTAGTTCTTGCGATGACTCGTGTTCAGTTGCTGACACCTTTGCCTGCTCTCCAGCGCGCTGGACCTGAGCGCGGTTGCGAATGAGAAAAGATGGCCGGCCCTCCAAACCTTGCGCACGACGAGGTTCCACAGCGTGAAGCTCTGCAGAAGCCGGCGTGACGTGTTCCTCAACACTGTCCAAAATGCGTTGCACGAGCTCCTTCTTATTCCCCGTCGTAGGTAGACCCCTTCCGCGACACTCGCGCACAAGCCGTACCTTGCGCCAAGCACGGATATTGTGCATCAGCCCCTCATCGCCGTCCTCCAGCCCGGAAGGCGATGCCTCTCCGGCGTCCTCCGCCCCTCTCAGCGACACGTCCTCCGCTTGCGCGGCCCCGCGGCCGGCGCCCTGCGTCGCCGCCGCGTCGGACGTCCGCCGATCGCGCGGC